TCTACAATAGTGTCCCCTAACACATAAAACCAGGGTGTTAAAATTATATTAAAAAACCTCAAGCTTCGATCTAAAAAGTGTAATTGGTTATCCTAAAATATGTCATTTTCGATCTAAAAAGTGTTATTGGTTATCTTAAAATATGTCATTTGCTTTTTTCTTTGGGTAGATCAGAGGAAAATATAGGCCCCTACCCATTCTAGACCGGTAGTTGAGACTCAGGTGGTACTACCACGACGGCCTCAACCCCATTCCCATATGTCTTTTGTTTTTGTTTAACAAAACCACTATTGTGCCCGTGGCCAAGATCGAATGACAAATATTTAATGCCAATTTGGATGTACCCAAAATTGGAATATTTTTGGATTGCAATCTAAAAATCTTGTAAAACGGACTTTAAGCCATTTGGATAACCACAAGATCTTACTAGATTTTTAGATTGAAAGAAAAAAAATATTGCCATGTCAAGACAAAAGTTACCATTAAAAATAATTCAAGTTAGACTTGAATTTTTTCAGATGAAAGTGCAAACTTCTCTCCACCCATGCAAACCCCAAACTCAGATTTCTTGCTATTTACCCATGTCCTAGCAGCCCAAATCTCTCTCTCTCTCTCTCGCTGCAAACCCAAAAACCCAACTCTCACTCTAGCACCTTGCAAGCCAACTCTCAGTCTCTCTATCTAAGAAGCTCCTCTGGTGCAGCTAATGGTTTAGTGGCACCAAGCATCATGCATTCCAGAATCCAAATCTCTGGTGCACCCTCATAATCTTTGTCCTTCAAGGTGCTGCTAATGGAGTTCTCTTAGTCAAATTGTGCCATCAAACACTTGATCATAGGGGGCAAAATAACATTTTTCAGGAAAGTGAGAGAATTGATAAGAGATTGCAGTAAGTGAGAGAATCACATATTTTCTTTCAATTTTGAATCTCTTTGATTGTCTATCTCCGTATCGATTGGAATCCATGATTGATTTAGGGTCTCCATCTTTTGACAAGCATGTTCAAGTCTTCTGATTTTACCTCCATTTTTCCTTCGGTTAATAACCAGAGTCCACATTTCCTCACAACCTGAAGTCATGAAAGCAAAAACCCTAGTATTTCAGCAAATAAAAAGGTATTTTACAAAGAACTCCAATATCCATCAGAATTAACGCCAACCCCAAATTTGCAAAGACGGACAAGTTCTCGTAAAAAACCCTATGTTCATCAAAATCAATAGAAACTGTACATTTGGAGTGAGAGTAACCTTAATACACTGAACCAAAATATGCAGAGAGAGAAAATAGATCAAGAGAGGTAAGAGGGGAGGGAGAGACCATTTAGTAAGGCGAGGGATTTGGGACAGAGTGATAACAATCCATAGTGGAGGCTAAAATAAAATACTCATGTAACACCCAAATGACTTTATAAGAATAGAAAAAACAGCCTTGTATTTTTTTCGATTGGTATTTGAAAAACTTACAACTTTTATGAATAACAAATTCCTTTTATTTGACCTCCAAACTTGCCCATAGTTCTAAAAAAAGATATGGTGACCCTAAGAGACCAAAATATACACTTGGTGAACAGGCAAAATACCATATCGAGGAATTTGTATGACGTTAAAATTCTCAAATTATACAATATCTGACGTCATTGTCAAAAAATTTGATCTCAAAAAACAAAAGTAAAACTCAAAATCACGTTCTCATTCAAAAATTGACTTCGGAGTATCCATTTGAAGAACAATCATATCTAGGATTTTATGAGTTCAAATCAAGTTTTCCCTTTTTTTCCTTTGGCTTCATTGTTAAATTGATCACATGCTAAATCAAAGACGACTTGACAATTTTCAAGTCAAAGAAAGCCCCTTGTGTACCTTCTTTGCTTGCTAGACCACATTATAGATTGGTCCACTTGACCACTATTTTGGCTCCCCTTGTGGCACATCTTTATAAACAAACTTTAGTAAAAATCTTAGAGACTCAATTGATGTTTCTTATAACCTCGAGTGAACTTAATATTTAGGATAGATCATCACCTTAGTAATACTTGGTTATGGATCCTCTAAATTTGTGTGTTTAGAGTTGTGTTTGGACGGTCCTCCTTGTTTGTGATGTTAGGATTTAAGAATCCTTTTAGTTGTGGAAACAGGAATCTCAAAAGTTGGATCCCACTAAGATCGTGTACTTATCCAGATAGAAACAAAATGAGAGAGAGCACAAGCCATAATACGAAAAATAAAATATGAAACACACATGCTACAAATATACAAAGATTTATGTGGTTCACCCTAAGAGGGTTACATCCACGGGCACGGCAAACTGAAATCCACTATACTAATGAAAGTTGCCTCATAGATTTTGGGACATAGAGTTACCACTCTAACCCTAGACTCAACCTAATCGAGCATACCCTTTTAGACCCACTCTCCTGATCGACACGACATGCCGATCTCTCATTTCTATTCTACAATTAAACCACTGTCTAGGAAAAGACCCATATCTATTCTATTGCTAAATCGCGAAGAAACCCTTGAGAGCAACAAAGACTTTTTCTCACTAAAAAGGGAAACCACACAAAATATTTATGGGTAGAGAAGCCAACATCTCAATCAACATGATGTACTTCCATAGTGTTTCTCTCTTCTTTCTATGGGAAGGCTTTGCCTCTCATGCACAGGAGGCCATTGCCTCTCTCTCTAGAGGCAGTCACGTTTCTCATATGGTGACTCAAATGGGGCATACATATTCCCTTATCTTTCATCATATATATATAAAGTTAGGAGTATACACTAAGTAAGAAACTTCTTATAGATGTTACATATACATTAAAAGCCAAAAGATATATTCGAGAGTCGTAATCTTTTAAGACTTCTATTTACTTTAGTAAACTTATCAATACCCAATCTCAATCCCAATCCCAATCCCAATCTCAATCTCAATCCCACATAATATGGGATTTCTTTATGTGAGTGATTTTTGGATATCACCATATCCAACAAGTCATAGGTATAAAGTTGTCCTAATATATCAGTTGAGTGGGTGGCATGCCACTATTCACAAAGCAAAATAAGAGCGGAATCCCGTTTATTTGGAAACCATTTTGCTAATACACCCATTCTCAATTATACTTTCATTTAGATTATGGGTTGATAATGGGTAAGAAAATACCAAAAATAGTGCACTTTCGATATCTTGGGTCGATAATCTAAGAAAATAAAGAGATTGAGGAAGATGTTGTATATAAAATTAGAATTGGGTGAGCAAAGTGGAGATGTGCAACCAGAATTTGAAGTAATCACATACCAATGAAGCTAAAAAGCAAGTTCTATAAGACAATTATGAGACCAGCTTTGCTCTATGTGGCAAAATGTTGTGCGATCAAAAAATAATATACCTATAGAATGAGTGTAGCAGAGATGGATGAATGGAAAGACAAAAAGGGATAGAAATGCAAATGAATACATTTCAAAAAAAATTAGGTATGGTACCAATAGGCGATAGGATGAGAGAGAATAGACTTAAGTGGCTAGTCATGTGTGGCGCAGACCCAGTACAACACCTATTAGGAGGTGCTAGTTAGTCCAAATGAAAGGCTAAAATAGAGCGCTGAGTAAACCCAAAAAGACATGATTGAAAATAGTGAGAAAAAAAATATAGAGACTTATGTCCTTGTTGAGAGTATGACCGGACCAAGATTTATGTAGCTAACCCCAATTAATTAAAAAAAAACTTTGATGATGATAACAACTTTTACCTAAATTATGACTCCAAAGTGCTTATATTCACGATTGCGGATTGAGGCAGCTAAAATTAAGGCTTCGATATGTTTGCCAGTCGATTTCAGCCAATGTTCTCACATGGAGGACTTAGTTATTCTGTTGTTATTAATGTTCGGCATGTGACTAATTGTTTGAACTAATTCTTCTTTTTTCTTTTTTCTTGATATCTTTATTCAGTTCTGACCATCCATGTTTTTCTCATGGACCATCATTGCGAGACTTCGTGGACGAGCCAAATCAATCTCCAAATCAGTTCTCTCATGGTCATAGAATGTTCTATTTATAACAAAATTAAAGGAAAATCTAGTTTAACTTATTTTTTATTTTGTTCCAAAAATTTCCCTCACTATGAACATAATTCCAATTGTCTAGTGAGGTATAGGATGTCCTATTTATCTCAAAATTAGAGTAAAATCTGACTTGTTAAAAGAATTTGTTAGTGTAACTAGTTATTGACATTGTTCCAAAAACTTCCCTCACCATAACTACAAGGAAAATGGTTTGATATCGCAGTAGCCCTATCGTAAGGCCTCACCTCATAGAACATCAAAAATAACAATTCAAGCATTGAAAAACTTTTAAATGGATCATCTTAAGTTGAACATAATGGTTGTGGAAAAAAAATTAGGATTTCAAGCTCTAAAAATAATGTATAGTATAATAAAATATCTAAACTGTCCATTTTGCCTTAATAATAAGTGTTCATAAATCCGCATGATCTCTACTATTTTTTGAGTTTCAAAATTTATTTTTGGTGTTGGAAATTAATTTTAGAGCCATCATAGATATTTCCGTTACCAAAGGTACTTTCGGGATGAGGATTTGAGATGAGGCTTTATTTTGTTTTCATAAAACCTAGGACTTATAGAAACCTCATCCTAAATACAATTCCAAAGATGTTCATAGTGAGGCTGTTTGAACTTGTACAGCTGCATTGTGCCTAGGAGATTTCTTCCCAGTATTACTTCTCAATCCCAAAGATTCATATGCAAGAGTGAAGGAATACCCAAAAAATATACTTGCAAAATTAAGATGGCCAAATCTCCATGTGTCCGTAAACACAAAGTAGAGTATCAATACTACACATCAGCAGTGGGAAAGAAACATATCAAGAAGCCCCCCCTACGAATGAGGCTCAATAAAATGCCCAAGGGAAGGTTTTGAAACCTAGACTACAGATAAGTCTCTACTAAAACAACTGCATCAGAACATGTTCAAATCTGGTGCTACCTCGAAGTGCACAAAACCAAAACGAGTTCTAATAAGATGAGAAAATGTTTCCACAGATGAATGTGTATGTGTGTGTGTTTGGATAAATTTATCTCCATTAATTTGAGGATATGGAATTGCCTCGACGTACAAAAATATTGGTCGTAAAACCTTGATTCAAATGGCATAACACATCAAAATAGCAAAGCATGGTAGCACATTTTTTTGGGGAAGTCTTTTTTTACCCAAAAAAATGTGTTGTTGTACCATAAGTACATAACAAGGAATACTGCACCTAGAATCAGCATTCCTCTGAAAATTATAGGTACTGCTTAAGCCATGATGTCCTTGACATCTGTGTCGGACAAACTTCTTCATCTCTACTCTCATTAGGTATTGAGAGTTTATTTTGTTGATCAACAATCTGGGATCAAGACTCCCCTTGTACCTTGTGAGCTCCCTACTGGCTGGCAATCGAAGGAGAGATCTTTTTTATCAAGCCCAACAACTCCAAACATTTACGAACTATGCCCATGCAAGCACATGTTTGAATTGCCCCTAGCATTACAACCCCACCTACATGAAAGTAAAGTCATAAGACTTCTAGAGAAATATGGTTAGTCAATGAATTCCACCTCGCATATGATATGGGGAGATACACAACACAATATTGACTCCTGATGCTAATAAATTCTGACAATTACCCTTAACATGCACCCTTTTCTAGTGGATATTAACTTCTAAAGTAGCCCGGCAAAAGAGCCTTTGTGTAGCCACAGTTTTGGTCCCACATGACCTGAGACTAGCTAAACAATTGCCTGTAAAATGCCTCAACTGCTTCACCATATGTGTCTTCAAGAAGTGAAAATGTACAACGGCTTCATTGATGTAGAAAGATGCAGTATAACCTCAAGGGTCGCCCATAGGAAAAAAAATAACAAGCATATACAAACGGAGAAGGCTAAAATTAACGGAGAACGATGTCTTATGATTAAGAGAAATAAATGCTTTGCATCAATACTTTCCATTAATTCCATGATACATGATACCCACTTTAGTAAAAAATACCAGCAATTTCATGCAGTAGGTCCCAACAGGGGCTTTGACCGCTGGGAAAGCAATGACATTCTGAATTTGCATATTAACTTTTGCCCGTAGATTTATCCACTAAAACCATTGCAACAATTAACCTACAAGCAGCTCCAGTAATATATAACCAAAACCAAATTATCATAGTAAGATTGGTTTGAAACTTGAAACTTGCAAGGAAATAGCATATGTGCTTCATTTCAGATCAAAGGTAGGATAAGCATGCTAGTTATGGTCCATCCAAACCAGGTTGGAAGCGTATTTCCAGCAATTTTTTACTAAGCGGGGTTACAAAAGGGAGTCGCTATAAAGCTGAAATTTTTCACTCCTACATGGATGGAGGAAAAAAAGCGCATTTCCTTTCCAATGGTCCATCCAAATGGACATAGAGACTCCTCTGGACCCTAAGTGAGACTCAGATGATTGCTTAGCTGATCTCATTTGAGATGACACTAGGTAGAGGTGAGATGGGGTTGCCTAGCCGAATGTGAACACCATAGAAATAGACAGACATAGATACATGCGCCAGAAAACGTAAACATGTTGTTTGAAGCTCAGGGTTCAAGACAAGAATGAGGAGACATGATTTTATCAAGATGATAAATTGGAGAAAAAGTTCAAATCCTCATGGCAATAAGGAGTTAAGAATCGGACTACCAAACACTTCTACTCCATTTCCAACAATATCTACACTGAACAAAAATAGTTACTTCTAGTTCCTAGTGGTACAGATTTTCGATAAGCGAAGACACCACCTAGGCCTTGATTATTATAGTACATATTATTCAACCAGTAACATAACTTTAACTGATAAGATAGGTAAAACAAATGTTTTTAGACTCGGTTCTGGCCTCAAACTCTGCCTGGTCCAAACTAAAATAAAAAAATTTAAGAGTGAACAAAACTAAAAACTAACATAAGGAACCCAAATAAGCTGAAAATACTATATAAAAAATGGATTTATCAAAAAAGATTTAAAGTAGGAGACATTTCATTAAAAATCCCAAAAAAGAAAATACAAGATAGGACATTCGACAATGAAAACTCACTAAATTATTGCAAAACACATCCAAATTGCATATTTAATTTTAAAAATTGATTCTACTTTACATAATTTTAAAAATTAATTCTACAAGTTTTTATAGAATTTTAAAAATTGATTCTACAAGTTTATATAATTATTTTTTTCTTTTTTTGTTTTAATATACTTGAGCTGTACTCAGGTACTCGGCTTGGCCAAGGGCCGACACTGAGTAACTCGGCTGATTCCAAGTGGATTACCGAGTAGTTAAACACCTGGTAAAACTTGGCATCAAAAGGATTCCAAGAAGTCATCTTGATGAGCCCCAAAAAGGAGAGTATCATGTATGCTTCAAAGTATGATCATTCTTGAATATTCATTCAAGTGAATATAAATTTAAGCAGACCGCTGAACTTCAATTTAACCGTGCAGGTAACTGTTTAAATGGTTCATAATTTTGGAAAGGGATCGTCTACAAAAAGACCATTTATCTTTTATACAAGGAGGTCACAAGTATTCCTACTCATTAGATGTCAAATTTGATGATTTACAGTGAGTCACGAAGTTAGAAATTTTTTTTTGGAACTTTGTGTCTATTCAATGACACTCTTACAACCACTCATTTTGAAATTTAAGGGACAAGTGTGTTTGTGACCTCATTGTACAAAAGATAAATGGTCTCTTTGTAGACAATCCTTTTTGAAAAATAATAAGGGTAATCAAGATAAAACAACATGGCCTAACAACTTTATGAGTTTTGGATCTTATCAAAAGTATAAGAACGAGAATCAAATAAGCCAATCCATTTTGTTGAACACATACTGACTTTGCCTAATATTGTTTTCTAAAGAATAATGACTTCTTTAATTTATTGACGTCAATGTGCCATGCAATTTCACCAAACGGCTAACAAAAGAAAAAGGATATAGGAGAGAGAAAACAAAGAATATTTTCAAGCTTCCAATACCTGGCAATTAGGATTCAAGAAATCTTAATGTTGAACACATTCTACAAATGGTTGAAGCAATGAACCACACAATCTACATATTTACTTGATCTTGATTATTCACTCAAGTAAATACAAATTTAAACAGATCACTGAACTTCAGATTAACTGTATAGATAATTGTTTAAAATGGTTCTGAACATTGGAAAGTAATAAGGGTGCACAAGACAAGTTCAAGTAACTTGCGAAACATGGTGACTACTTGCGAATTATGATTTGGGATCTTTTCAAATGCTTACGATTGAGAATCCAATATGACTACCCATTTTGTTGAATAAATTTTGACTTTGCCTTTTGTTTGTTTCTAAAGAAAAAGGGCTCTTTTCATTTATTGATGTGCCATGAAATATCACCAAATAACAAACGAAAAAAAGGATATAGGGAACATGTTCAACCTTTCAGTGCATGGCAATTAGGATTCAAGAAATCTTAATGTTGAAAACAAACTGCAAAATGGATTGAAGCAATGAACCACATATAGAAACCTCCCCATCAAATAAAAAATGATACCATATTCAGGTCAAGAAACAGCACACAGCAACTGATACTCCTCAGGGACTTTTTGTTTAGAATGACTCTTTTTTTTTTGGCATCTTGTTGCGTATAAATAACACAATTGACAATGCACCTTACAAAATATCATATTCAAAAAAGAAAAAGAAAAGAAAAACCAAAGCCAATTACGGAAAAGAAAAAGAAAAATAGAAGCAAAAGAAGAAGAAGAACAAGAACAAGAAGAAGAGCACATCTAGTGATCAATTTTCAATAGAAGCATCAATTTTGGATGCAGACCCAACAAGAAAAACTGAACCATTACCTCGTAATGTTCCCTTCTCTACAATATCACGTGCTACAAGAAATCATTCATAAAACAATTGTATCATTAAACAAAACAAATAACTCTTCAGATCAACTCCTTCCATGATCATTACAAAATCAACAGCCTCACTTGAGAGCTCAGTAACCCGTATTCAGCGTCCAAAACCAACTCAATAGTATATGGTTACAGGTGGAATCTTGAAACCAGCATCTCGCAAAAAGGGTATGGCCTCTGGTCTATTAACCAAGTCATCATAGAAAATATACTCTGCCTCATAATCATGCAAATGAAGCTCGGCTTTTTGGTTGGTATGATAATGGTGTTTGGCATCATTTGATTTCCCGAAGCCAAAAATACTGACTTTTTCACAAATCCCCAAAGCAAGCATAATTGCCTGCATACCTGATGAGTAATGGAATATAGACCCATCATGTGCTGCAGCCCAATCTTCAAGTGGTTTACCTGTTTTCTCAACAAAATCCTTTATTGAATAGTATTTGACAATTCTTGCACAGAGAACATCAAACCTTACGTCGGTGATAATCAATGGAGCCTTATGGGTTAAATTACAGAGCACATAGTCCATGAAATGAGCAGGTTGACATATATACATAACAATGGGTATCTGCTCTCCATATGGATGGCAAAAGCATCCCTCTCTACGAGCACAATAATGTAGCATATTACTATTAACAAATGCCAAAGTAGTTTTCGAACCCACTTTCTTATGAAATCCCTCTGTTCTAGCATTGTTCAACCTAATAACCATCTCGTGACTATCTATAAACTCTGCATAATCCTTCTTCAATAAAATCCCACTATTTCCCACAACAGCACACGACGAATAAAACGGACCTGATTGAATTGAGACCAAACCGGTCGACCCATAATGCCGATCAAGTGGTTGCTTCACCATTGCCATCAATTCCTTCATAATATCTGGTTGGAAACGCTTGCTTCGAGCCCAATTTCGAAGATTTTCGCGAAAAGAAGGCCATAATTTAGTGTAACGAGGATGCAATAGTTGAGCAGGGATTCGACCAATAGCCCTTCTGTGAGTATCATGATTTTCTCTCCCATACGATGAAATTGATCGGTGTCTTCCATACCCATAATTGCCTTCTAGGAGTCGATTAATCTCTTCCCTAGATTCAGCCTCTCCTAACTCAACTGCAGCAAAACTCAACAAAGTTTGATTGAGAATTGGAGGCCTAATGACTGAAACTCTGAGTTCAGGGGGGCTAAAATTAAGATTTCGGCGAACAGCAGCTCGACAGCTCAAAGCAGTGCCCACCGCTATGAGGAGAACCAGGCTGAACAATGGTCTTAGAGATTTCTTCATCTCTCAATGCTAAAGAGAGTTAGATAGAGGTAGAAGAAGAAGCCATGAACAATTACCTAAACGTAATTGTGCCATTTATGAGACTTGGGCATTGAAGACCAAAGCCTAATCTCGCATCCAGAGTTCACGGACGATGGAAATCTAAGCCCTGGTTTCCATATCGGAAGCTGAAACATCAAATCCTAGCCCTAAGCTTGTCTGTGCCCCTAAAGTTCAACATCTACATAAGGAAATATAAAACTTTGCTCTGCCATTGATGAATCTAGAGAAGAAGGCAGGTCCCTAAATTTTGCCACCGTTGATGAAGGTGGTGTGGTCCCTTATGCTAGAGACGGATCATGGAAAGCCCAAACCTATTTTTCCTATGGTGCAGCTGCACAGATTCCTAGGATTCATCAAAAATGACTCAAAAATCCAACATTAATCTCAAACTCATGAAGCTAGAGAAGTACAATAATAAGCCTAATTCCTCCATTAACAAAGCTATAGAGCTCCACCCTACAGCTCAATCAAAAAAGGAAAACCCAGACACCCCAATTTCACCCACAGAAATGCCACTCAGATCGGCGAACAGGGCTCATCCAACAAAACTTTAGCCCGAAATACACCGCTATCAAACCTCTGAAGCTCCAAAAACAAAAGAAAAAACCTCAGACCCAACAGGAACTTCAAAAAAAAATAAAAAAAAATCATTAACACGAGAGCGACATTAAACCTTTGCAAGTTCAGAGAATATGACACCATTTTCCCAGCTTAAAACACAAGAATACGATCTCAGAGTGAAAGTTAGGGTTTTCTGGTGTTCAAAGCTTACAGCAAAAGAAGCGGGAGCTCCTAAAAACAGGTAGCCAGTGCTCACCGACCATGTGCCCAAGCTCCACTCCCCATGCCCTATTTTTGTGCATCATTGAGCCTCTATTTATGGAGATGGATTCTGAAGAATTTTGGAGTCGTTTGAAAGAGAATTTTTATTTTAATGGAGCGGACTCTCTTAAGTGAGTGATCAATAAGGTTAGGAGTTGCAGGCTTGATAATATTTGGGAAATTTAGGAAAATAGTTATTAGAGATGAAGTATTTAAATATGGGGTGTCCGTTTATTTTAAGGACTAGGCTGGCTATATGGAAAAAAAAGAAAAAGAAAAAAGAAAAAGTAAGCCCCCGCCTGGAATTTTCCATCCGCAAAGTACTTTGGGTACCACAATTTTTCATAATGATTTTAAAATTAATTTTTAATATCAATCATAAAATTTAAAACTTAAAAAATATGTAAATTTTGCATACCGGTGAATGTTTATTTTTAGAGTTAAATAGACGATAACGTGTTACAATACATTAAAAAAATAATAGTGCGTTATAATATACACTATTTTTAAAACTTAAAAACATAATCTTTCATGACCAATATGGTTAAAGTCGGGATGATTAATTTGAAAGTTTTTAAAGACCAAAACTACAATTTTGATGAGAAATTTACTTATTTTGATAGGACCGCATTACTTAAATATATTGGCTAACTGTTCAAACTCAAAATCATGTTTTTTTTTAAGCGGTCTTCAAATTAAATATAAATCATTAAAACATTTATCTTATAAACTTATCTAATATTTTATACAAGCTCCTTTTGTAGGTGCTTTTACTAAAGGAATCTATTGACATAACGCCAAACTGCATAACAAAGAGAGGGAAATAACGAGCCATAACATTTCCATCATTTGGCAATCGTAGTAATTCGAAAAATACGCCTTACGATCTTAAATCCAGAAAGTTCCTAGAAGTTAAACAATACATGGAACGAAAATGCGAAGAAAGGGGTCAGTACAAGAGAGAAAAGGTAAACATGCTAAGTCCAAAGTTCTCTAAACTTCATATTGTAAAAATAAAAGTTTTCTCTGCATCAGGAGCCCTGTGGATATGAAAGAAAGACATAAATAAACATAATATGACAATTTTCAGGGGAATCTTTTAACAAGGGTAATTTAAAGAGATGTTTAGTAAACGAAAAAACTCATATAAGGTTGAAATCTTATACTGCTGAAATAAGGTGTGGTGTACCTCAAAAATTCTACAATAGAGAGTGTTTCAGTGTAGGAGAACCATCAATTGATCATCTTGATATTTAAATGAATGGATATGAAGAAAAAAAAAAATTTGAGTTCAAAAAATATTACATCTTGTAATAAGTCATCTGGACCATCTATTTTCACGACTTTCAAGTGTTTCTTGATCGGCTCCCTTTGTGCCGTTATTGAAATTTTAAATTTTATAACTCAAGATAAAAAAAGATTTTAAAGCCATCATAAGGTTTTAGACACCAAAACAACATCTCTAGATAAATTTTAGGGGAAATTATATACATATTCGTTATATTTTACGTTATTACGGATGTACCGAATAGTTTCCGTTATTACATGTCTACCCGGTTTTTATGTTTCATAACGCAATTTTTTAAAAAATACGACTTTACCCTTTTTCTGGTGTTCAATATCTAAATTGAAGGGTTTTTTGGATGTTCAACATCCGAAAATAGCCGAAAATTTAACGTTCGAAGTCACATTTTCGGATGTTCACAGTCATATTTTCTGATGTTGGACATCCGAAAATAACACGTTTTCGGATGTTGAACATCAAAAAATGTGCCTGCGAAAGAAACATTTTCGGATGTTGTACGGAATGTGAACGTTAAACTTTCGAGCTATTTTCGGATGTTGAACATCTTATCAATTCGGATGTTGAAGATCTAATCAATTCGGATGTTGAACACCCGAAAAAAAGTAAAATCATCTTTTTTAAAAAAATTACATTATGAAAAGTAAAAAACGGACATATATGTAATAACATAAACTTTTTGATATATCTATAATAACGTAAAATATAACAGATATGTATGTAATTTTTTCTAAATTTTATAGGTCCACCTTACTACTTCTATAATACAAGGAGGCAACCTTTAGTAAATTTCTCATATTCAGTCCGTATATCAACAGTGCATGTCTTTCCATAACGGCTGTTATTAATGGCACGAAAATTACCATTAGATAACGTAACGGGTGGGGTTCAATGGCTGATAGATCGGCTGTCGTTATCTTCATTGAATAGGCTTTATTCCTTTTGTTTTTTCAGCCTTGAAAAAAAATAATGGTTTGGAAAAGTTATTGGTGCAGCTTTTAATGGGAGAACATTTAATATTTGTTGTTTTGTTGATGAAGTTTGCATTATTAATTGACAAAGCGATGGAATTGAATTACCCACGAAGTTTAGAATTTCCAAATCCATCTTCCTTCTCTTTAAAGCTGGTGATCATAAAAATGGATCATATTAATTATTTTAGATCCAGAATATCTTTATGAGTAGGACTTTTACCCGAGGAAGTAATGGTACAATGTGCTCCGTCGGGAGTACAACTTTAGGAGATTTTATTTCTAGAGAAGTATAGAATTTCAAAATCCAATTTCCTTCTCTTTATAAATGTTGATAAAAAAGCAGATCATAATAATTATTTTAGATCCAGAATATCTTTCAAAGTAGGTGTTTTACCTAAGTAATGGTACAATGTGCTCCCATGGGAGTACAACTTTAGGAGATTTTATTTCTCTGCGTTCTAGATCCTTGGGAGTAAAAAGATAGCACTGAGAGGGACTAGAGAGGGATCCAAAATAGATAAACATAGGGGAACTAGGAGAGATGAGGGGATTGTAATGCAACATAACTATGCTTAAAGGTGAGTTATAATTACATTTAAACACTAAAACTATTGCAAATAAAAATAGCTACTAAAGTTATGTGGGATTTTGAATATTATCTTATCCGACTATCTTTCTGTATTGAAATATGGTTATAGATATCAGCATTCATGACATGGAGCTTTAACATGGAAGATTCGAAAGACTTTATAAACATCTTCATTCTCACAGTAATTGCTCCTACCCACTTTATTTACTTTTTTTTTCAAATGAATGTTTTGTATTTTGTATACTTTTTTCTTAGAGACTAAGTACTTGCCAGGCTCTTTTTCTAGTCCACAGGGACATATTTTTGAAAAAAGTAGCAAATTTGTTAATGCCTTATTGCTAAATGGCAGTTACAAACAACCATTGTATTTTATTAAATGTAGCTACGCCAACAATATATAAAGAAAATGTTAAAATAAGGATTAGGCCTTATGAAAACAAGTAAAATCGCATCTCAAATCTCACTGAAGATTTGTAATTTTGGAGTCCGAAATCTTTCAAATTGACCATCTCGATCTTGATCATCATGGATCCAAAAAGAAATAAGATATCAAGACCTAGAAATAGTGTTTCTATTTGTGAAATATTTGAAAGGTCTTTCTATTCCCAGAAGTTATTTAAAAAAAGTTATGTTTCTCATTTAATTTGCTTGATATTTAGAAGTTAAATGAACACATCTAACATTCAATTGCTGGCAATGTTTTAGCCGGTAGACAGAGTTAGTTATGTAATTATATACCAAAGATATGTTCAGAAATAGTCCTGGTCGACCAATTCAAGTTGAGAGAAAAAAATGCAACATTTGTTGTTAGTGTGCTCCCACGGGAGCAAAATGTACATTAGATCCCTTGGGAAGATCATAAATTCTGGGACCCAGTTTAGAATTATCAAGATGAGTATTCCTCATATATATGGCTTTGAGTATGTGAATTCTTAGACTTCACCATGCAAAATTTAGTTGGTCACTGTTATGTTCTTTCCGAGGCAACCTGCGGCCCATGTTTCCATTTTAACCTTTAGATTTTTTTTATTTTTTATTTTTTTTTAACTTAAGAAATTTCACTAGGTTGAGTAAGTTATCTACAAAATTTTTGGGGTCCTAAAAAGGCCCCTTGCAAGGTTTACAACTGAGGGAGCAAACACACACTGTGCTCCCGTGAGAGGATAAACTTTTTAAGTTAGGTATGCCGGTGGCACGTCCCGTATTCACAGGCTGGAGAAGAGGTAGAAACATTGCACAACGATGATAACATGCTACTAAACTGCACGTTGAACGTTTTAAAAAAAGGAGATGACGACGTGGTTTGCGTAAGGTTTCAGCCTCTAACAATAAAAATAAGTTAGCACCACCAAAATTTATCATAAGATGTAATTTGGTTTTACGATGGCCTGAGAATCCATTTTCATCATTAATTATAAAATTTAACCTGTAAAGATGGTTTAAGTCCAACAAATCTATTAATACATGAAAATCTTGAAAACTGGTCACTCTAAATAATGCATTGCAAAATGCATTATTTTTAGAACTCAAAATCTTGCTTTTTTTTTCGTATTCTATATCTCAATATCGAAACAATTAATAGGTTTATCAACTCTAAAATAGTCTTTTACGATAAATGTTTTTAGATGTACTTTAATTCTACATTTTAAAATTGCGACCTTACCTATACTTTTTTAAAGAAAAGGAACAAGAAATTGTCATTTTTCTTCTCTAAGAATCGGCGAGAGGGAATAGTTAAAAAAGCGATATATATTATTTTTGTGGGGTTAGAAGTCCCATAAATGCAGATTTAAGGTATTATTATTTTTAGGTTTCCAATAGGTCAACATAAGAGCTTCCCTTGGATAAGACTTTAAAAGACTGATAGGAATGGCTTCCATGTAAAGCGCACACCACAAAAAGCCTCCCTTAGTGGAGAGAGAGTCTTACTTCTTGCATCATGGCTTACCTCTAAAGCACATGTTAAACCCGCCGGATCTTAAATCTAGTCATATCCATTACCACCCTACCATTATGGGCTGTATTTTATTTTTTTTACTATCACATATCTTATGATTATAAGCTTTTTTTTTTTTTTTTTTTTATAGGCAATAATATTATAAATGTTGATAATATTGTGACAATATGAACACTTAGAGCGCTCTTAAAAACACATAATTTCTATTATATACTTTATGGTTATGGGTACGGGTTGGGTCTAGTTAGTCTACAACCTAAACCTATATCCGGATGATATTCGGGTTCAAAATTTGGTTCCATACTCAAACTTGAGGTCAAAATTTGGTTCCATACTCAAACTTGAGGTCAGGTATGGATCT